TGGAATGTAAATCTCTTATAGTGCAACTAGGTCAAGCAGGATTGAGACCTTGTCATGTTAAAAAGGCTATTAATGGAATGAAAACCTCAACCGTGGCTGATGTTACTTCAAAGCAGTGTGCTGATGTCTTATCTGAGCAACGAAAACAATACAGAGGAAAGGAGTTCTATGGACTTATAAAACATTTCCAAGATAAAGCCTTATTGGATAATGACCAATACTTTTATGTGGATTTGTGTGATGATGGGTCTCCTAAAAATATATTTTGGGCTGATGGAAGATCAAGAGACGCCTATACTAAATTTAGCGATGTTGTTGTGTTTGATGTCACTTATATGACAAACAAATTCAAGATGCCTTTTGCTCCTTTTGTTGGTGTTAATCATCATGGGTAATCTATACTTTTTGGTGGAGCGTTGCTAGAAAACGAAAAAGAAGAAACTTTTGAATGGTTATTTGAGCATTTCCTCAAGTGTATGTTTGGCAGATATCCGAAGGCAATAATTACTGATCAAGACAAAGCTATGGGTAATGCAATAAAAAACGTGTTTCCAAACACTCGACATCGGTTTTGTGCATGGCATATTAAGAAGCATGAACAAGAACACATTAAACCGTATGTTTCCCGTTATAGTGATTTTAAGGAATCATATACAAAATGGGTAAATAGTGACACCATTGAAGAATTTGAAACCAGGTGGGAAGTTATACGTGATAATCATAAATTGGAAAACAATTGTTGGATAAGTGATATGTATAACCAACGAATACATTGGGCTAAAGCCTTCTTGAAGGATGTTTTCTTGGCTGGTATGACTATAAGTGGACGGAGTGAGAGTATTAATTCATTTTTTGATGGATTTGTTAACTCAAAGACTATGTTGAATGAATTTGTAGTGCAATATGAAAAAGCAGTTGAGTCTCGAAGGGCCACCGAAGAAGATGAAGACTTCAAGACTATGAACTCGAGACCGGTTCTTTCTTCTCTTCATCCAATCGAAGAAAAAGCAGGCGAGTGTTATACTAGAAAGATTTTTGATATGTTCAAGAAAGAATGGACAGAAGCTACTAGCAATTTAACTCACGAGACTATAAGCAAGAGTACTGAAGAAATCAAATATCGAGTGGGGCAACTAAAAATTGATAAAACATATTGGCGTTCTGTGACCTTTCGTTTTTCTAATGAAGTCAATGTCACATGTTCGTGTTCTAAGTATGAGACGGATGGGATTTTATGCAAGCATAGCCTATATGTGATGAAGAAGAGACATGTTGATACACTACCTAGTCGCTATATTTTACATCGGTGGACTCTTAATGCTAGGTATAAGGTGGGTAATGTTAGAATCGGTCTTGAAGAAATGAACAATGGAAATGACGTTAGTGCCTTAACATTATGGTGTGTCCGTTCAAATTTCACGAAACTAATTGAACAAGCAAGAGACTCCCCTTCGGAGATACAAAAAGTCAATAAGATATTGATAAGTCTTTTAGATGATCAAGAAAATCGGAAGAAATCTATTACAATTGAAAATACATCTCAAGTTTCTTGTGCGCGAATTTCACAGGTAGATATGATGCCTCAGTTATCTATCCGGGATCCTCTTGGTCCAACTAACACAAAAGGGCGTCCTAAAACTGCAAGTAGAATAAAGTCTTTTTTAGAAGCGCCAAAAAAACGAACATGCTCTTATTGTCAAGGATTGGGCCATTATGCTACTAGTTGTTCAAAAAGAAAGGTACTTATAATATTACATTAAATTTTTGAAAATTTTACAAGTATTATAAGTATATTAACAATTTATTAATTTTTTCATGTATCAGGCTGACGAATCAGTGCAAGAGAAACATTGATGAGATGCGATGCGTTGTTTCTGTGACAAATGGAAAATATAAATGCTTCATAATATTCTGTTTTGGTTACCTTTTTTTGTTTAGGACCCAAACAATGTTTGATGCTGTTTTGGAATGAAAATTTTGGATGGTTAATGGTCTATCTGTTCATAATCAAAGTAGTATGTTATTTTGTGTTTAAAATGTAAGTAGATAGCTATTATGTGTAAATAATGAAAGTGTGATTCAATTATGTGTTCAAAATGAAAGTAGTAAGTTATTATGGGTTAAAAGCATAAGTAGGATGCTATTATGGGTTAAAAACGTAAGTAGGATGCTATTATTGGTCAAAAACGAAAATAGATTGCTATGATGGGTTAAAAATGAAAATAGATTGCTATGATGGGTTAAAAACAAAAATAGATTGCTATGATGGGTTAAAAACGAAAGTAGATTGCTATTATGGGTTAAAAACGAAAGTAGGATGCTATTATGGGTTAAAAACGAAAGCAGGATGCTATATTGGGTTAAAACGAAAGTAGGATGTTATATTGGGTTAAAAACAAAAATAGGATGCTATTTTGGCTTTTTATGTTAAAAAAATATAAGCAAGTTGTTATTTTTGTCAAAAAATGTAAGTAGGTTGCTATTTTTGGTTAAAATAGTAGGACACTTAAGACTAAAGCTTGAGGGATTTGAACAACAAACCACATCATGTAAACACTAATAATGCAACAAGAAAATTTTCACCATTTCATTGAATATTTGTTACAAAAAGAGTTGTATGCTCTTTATACATGTATGTGCAATATCGATGAACATCATACAACATATTAACTTTTAGACAAGAGGTCATGGGCCCATCTGTTTCTTCTGCACACAGTAAGACCAACATGTATGGGTCTTAATCAATCATCACTCCACTTAATTCTCTATTTTGACCCCAACTAGCATTATATTCTTCATTCTTATTGTTAGGAAGTTGATTGTGGTGTCCTCTTCCGCTACCCACCTGAATGCATGCATGGACAAAAGAGTCATTTCACGTAGAGATTAGGTTAATAAATAATCATACAAAAAAATTTCCTCATAGTATGGACAAAATGCAGTCCCAGTTGTACATTGGTCAGAGGATAAGAAAAAGAAACAAACCAACAAGTAATTGGCAGTTATCAAATGTGAGAGAAGGGAAGCGATGAGCGAGGGTAAACTCTCGCTTCATATACCACTGAATATTATAAGAAATCGATTCATTAAAAAAAAAACAAATGATGAGGGAATACTGGCTCATCATTTATTTCATTGATTTTGTTAAGGTTAATTAGTGTTGATATATGATTCCTCTGTTATTTAGTTTAATTATTCAGGGTATGATGGTTGATATTGAAATTATGCTTCTAGAAAAGGTACATGTGTGTTGCGTGCCACCAATTACTAAAAAATCCAGTATTTGGTCGTATGCAGGGTCTGAGGGCCTAAGTTATTGTTCATCCTGTTTATACAACACCACAATCTCACCACCAATTGACACAATTTCAACAGAATTCGCCAATTTCTGGTTAGAACTTAGGTATACAAATCCGAATTGTAAACTCACAATAGGAAATTAAATGTAGATGTAGATGCTAAGTGGTAAGTCAATATCCTTGCCTGTGTAGGGCTGTTGAGCAACCATTGGTCAAAAAATAGCTATTAGGCATTCCATCAAACACCTAATAGGAAACCAACTTGAACTGAATAATTCTCATTAACACAATTTAGCCCAACTTTTGACGACCTAAATATGTTAGAAGAATAGCAGAGTACGAGGTGAAATACAGCTTCATGGCAGAAAACAGAAACAAGAATAATGCCAATTTGATAAGGAATTGAACCTCATACAAGTTGATTAAAAAATCAACTGATTAACATCATTAATGCAATCTATGTTTACTAACGTGAGGAGTACATGTAAAAACAAAAAATTAATGGAATTAATGGTTACAAAATGATGAATCGTGAATTCCATTATCACCATTAATGTATATAAGATGCCATCGAAATATATTAGTAAAAATAATGCATACACGTTGATTAAATACTCAATTGATTAACGCCATTATTGCAATATATGCTTCCTCCTGTGAGAAGTAAATAAAAAACATGAAATTAATGGAACTAGTGGTTACAAGATCAAACATGAATTCCATTAACAGCCATTAATGTATACCTGAACCCTAATAAGGTATATTACGTTCAAGATAAACAAAATAAAAATAAAGAATTTATAAGTTTGATGTCGTAATTACCAGTTTCGCACAAGCAACACCAATCACTTGATAAGTAAAATTCGTGATCAATAGAAGCCAATCGATTGCTAATAATCACGACAAACAATCGTTTAAGAGATTAAGAAAATAGAACTAGTCGATTAAGAAAACAACAACAGTCGACGGTAACAAACACGTATTTGTGAAATAATTTTGGAAGTTGTTTTCTTAATTAAAATTAAGAATAATTAGATTCGTAGAAAATCAATTGGACGTGATTTCATTAGATAGCAGGATAAAATGACGCAGTATAAGGTTTAGGTATATAAGCTTATATAGGGTTGTTAGGTATATTCACTTTTCCATATATATATATATATATATATATATATATATATTTACTATATTATTAAATATATTACCCATTTCTTGAAAATTAAGAGGTATACCCATTACATCATAACGCAGTATAAGGTTTAGGTATATAAGCTTATATAGGGTTGTTAGGTATATTCACTTTTTCATATATATATATATATATATATATATATATATATATATAGATATATATATATATATATTTACTATATTATTAAATATATTACCCACAATCTTATCAAGCTTATCAAGCTTCCATTACATCATTACGCACAATCTTATCAAGCTTCCATTCTAACAGTATACCTCATTGTATCTTTACGCTGTCTTTAGATCTTGAAAACACTAAACCCTAACTTCCTCTAGTCGTCAAAACACACACCTCTTTTGTCCCACTCCTTGTTCTTTCAAGTTTCCGGCAGCCCTCCGGTGCCACCACCCTCCTCACGCTTCCGCTACAACCTGGAATAGGTCACCGACCATTCCTTCCTCCGTTAACCTTCTCTACCTCTGTTTCTCTTCACAAAACTACAACCGCACATGTGTCTTTGCTCAAGAAAAAGGTAACAAATATCCTACTTTTCAAACCCTAATCTAGCCACCGCCATCGCACCATTCATTAGTCACCAACTTCTTCTCTCTCTCAATCTCTCGATCTCTCTTCCTCAATTTCTTTAGTCTAAATCACCATCGCCACCTGACCAATAGAAAATACAATGTACAGATGTTACACTTGTGTCTCTGCTCAAGGAAATGGTAATGAAGATGTAACTTTTGAAGCCCTAATCTAGCCACCTACCATCGCACAAATCATCAGTTGACAGCATATTCTCTCTCTCTCTCTCTCTCTCTCTCTCTCTCTCTCAGACGAATGGACTCCGACGACCACCACTGTCATCTTCTGGTGCTTACATTTATCCCCATTAATGAGAAATGTAAATGAGGCTTAGCGTTCTCCAGGTTAATTATTCTCCTTTCTCTATCTACTCAAATTCGATGTAATTCACATTTCCCATCAATTTTAGGTTCATATTCAATCATATTGGTGGCTTTTTTTCCCACTGCTATATATTTCAAGGATACCAAAGCTTTCAATCCCGATAGGGATTTTGGTAAAATGCTTTCTTCTTTTCAAAATTGGGTTTTAATCAACAAGAATCGATCTAGAACTAAGATAATTGGTGTGCTTGTTTTTATTTAATACGGTTTTTTAGTACCACTTGCTCTAAATTTTTTCCTGTTGTTGTCAATTTTTGTTACTGCCTCCAAAGACAGGTCATTTCCACCAAGGGGAATGGTTTTAGTGCTTATATTTCTTCTTGATGCAGCATGTCCAACAAAACAAAGTGATCAAACAAGTCCTAATGAATGCCTAGCTGAGGCTTTAAGGCCAACTGTTCATTCTTTCTGCAAAGTCTTAACAACTTCAGACATATTGGTAGATTTTCTTATTCTTATGTTCTATAACCTCTAACCCTCTACCCCTTTCATTACTCTCTTTTTCATGCTCCAATTCGCCAAATTCTTATATTTTCAGGACATGACACAAAAAACTCCTACTCAGGGGTTAACAGGAAAAGATCTTCATGGAACTGAGTGGCAATTTAATATACAAGGTTCTTATACTTAACTTTGTTTCTTTATTTTGTTTTCTAATATTCTTTTACTCTTTTGTGAATATCAATACTGATGAATATAAGTTTGTCCAACTGGGTAGACCCTGTTGGATTGGACCTTAGGCATGGGGCAATACCATCTACTGAAACAATTGACAAAGGGACAATAAAAGCAATAACCGATCCCTCCCTCTCCCTTTATCTCCTAGAAAACCAAAAATATCAGCATAAAAAATATTTCATTTGGATTCTGTTTCACTTGCTCAATATGTGTTTATTTGTTTAAAGTCCTCAATTGTCCCAAAGTGAAGCTGTTTAACCTTATTATTTGGGTTCCAATCGAAAATGGAATTTTAGATTTTCTTTAGTTTTAAATTTGTGATTTGCCTTTTAATTTGGTCGTTGTGTCTTTTGGCAGGAGGGCCAATTCAGCAGACAGTAGCCAAACATAAGTATGCATCGAAAAACCCAGTCCTTCCATGATAAGAAGACGTAGTGACCATGTTGTAAAAGGATATTGAAAGCCTGTCTTAAGGTAATATGGTGATGATAGCAACAATTACTTGGTCTTAAAGTAACTCATGAGGTTGTAGGATTCCATTTTCATTTGGATGAGATGATTTTGACTTGCAAATGGACAAAACAATTTATGTTTCTCATCATTAAGCTCTAATGGAAGTGTACATTTAAGTTCTTTTTTTTGTCTTGTGAATTTTAAGGTCTGATGCTTGATGTTGATGTCAAAAAATGTATTATTTTTGGTGTAGCAAGTCAGGTCTGATGCAGTTTTAAAAAATGTTTTAGGGCTAAGGTGTTTTTTTTTTTTTTTTTTTTTTTTTTTTTTTTGTTATTGTTTAATGACTCAGTTGAGGTCTGATGCTGTAGGTCTGATTTTTTTGTTGAAAAATGTCTGATGTGTGAAGCGATTAGTTGCAGAGCCTATGTATGCTTGGGATGGTGAAACACATCACAGTGTTGGAAGAACTATTGAGATAGAAAGTGATGGTCTCCTGATAATTGAAATTCCAAACCATGGCAAGCTGATCCTTTTGACATGGAAAAACTAGAGGACTTTAAGGTAAATCAACAAACACCTCTTTCAAAGCTTTTTAAGGGAATTTTATGTTCATTAACAAATATGACTTATGAGCAAATTATCTGATATGGAATGGAAGGTTAGAGATTGGTTGAGAGTTAAGGCTTCTGTGTCCTCAATACAGGTGGGAGGACATAACCAGGAATAATATTAGGTTCATCCACAGTTTAGAGGAAGATGGTGACATGGGAATTGCCTTATGCTTAAGAAGGCTCTAATATTCTAACTTTTTTTTTGAGGATATTTCAGAAACTTATCAGCGATGAGGCTCTTTGGTGGAAATGCAAAAGTAAATTGCTATTTATTGAAGCCGTGAATCTATGAATTTGAGTATAGTAGGATGTTTTGGTAATTATAACATACTACTTTGAATATGTTAATATTAGTATATTCGATTGGTTTAATAATTCCTAAAATACTGAAGTAGGTTGTTATTGTTTAACCCTCAATACATTACTTTTTCTTGCATTTGACCTCATCGGAGAAATGAAAGTATTTTGATTTTATCTTGCACACACAAATCCTATGGTAGCCTTAGGCTATAAAGTAATAGAGTAGAAGCATCTACTAAAATTTACTAAATCATTTATAAAGAATTGGGTACATATGATTTATTAGTTTTTTTAATTTTATTTCATGGATTAATGTTTATTTCTCTTTTTAGGTATGTGTTGATCAGAATGATGTTGATCTTGACACTGAACCATGCTTATTGGTGAAAGATACAAGTTATACACGTTTGAAACATAGTTGGAAGCCTCTCCTAATTGGAGACCATATTTGGACGATTTTTGCTCCTAATGTTGTTTTGTCCCTGATGTTAAAGTTGGTTAATTTCATTCTTCTGTTGCTTTGCCTCACTCAATTGGAGATCATTTGGGACCTTTCTTCCGATGGGGTGGTTGCATGATAAATATATGTCCTTTTAAATGGTGTTGTGTTCCCTGTTCTAGAAAATCATAATTCTTAAATGTTTTTTTTAAATATTTCTGTACTTGGTCAATCCTCTTTCCTGTTAAAAAAAACTTATTTATGGTGAGGTTGTTGCCAATTTGCATAACCCCCACCCCACCCCCCCCCCCCCCCTTCTCTAAAAATTGTTTTATTAATGTTGTTTTGTGTATGTGGTCTTTTTAGTTCCTTATACTATCTTTTATGGTGATATGCTCCGGTTAGCTTTATATACACAAAAAATAACAATAAAAAAGAATTAGAGCGTTATATATTTTGTGGTGATATGCTCCAGTTAGTTATATGGTTTTAGTAGCGGTTGTAAGGATTGCTCATCCTGTTACCACTTCAACCATTTAATTTCACAAAGTGGTGTATAACATTAAAATGAACAAAAGAAAATGGAATTTACATGCATTTTGGTGAGCCGATTCTTCAATCACTAAAATAATTTTTTTTAACCTTTTAACTATTTAGGGTATAAAAGTTTACTTATAAAATAATGGAATAAATCTAAAACATTAATGGCAAAAAAATCGAGTACTTAATGGAATAACCTTAAAATGTCGTTGATTTAATTAAAAGATGATAGAATGTTTTCTAAATATTCATTGCACAATAGAAATAATTGACTCTTGAAACTATTCACTTAAACGAAAATTTTTACCATCTACAACCTGCATGCCGAAAGGAATCTAATTTCTAAAAGGAAACTATTCTCCTAGGCCACTTATATAACAAAGTATTCCTGTCAAAATGAAATAATTCGTCGAAAACAAGATTACTAACCCCCTCCTTCCTCCTTTATTCACACCCGTCGTTTAGCGCGGGTAAACGGCTAGTATTAGATATATATATATTAGATATATATATATATATATATATATATATATAATATATATATATATATTATATATATATATATATAAAAGACAAAATCACAAAACCGCCTTACTATTCAGATGTATATTTAAGAAATGATCGATCTATTCATATAAAATGTTTAAATTCTTCGTAATAAGAACTTGATAAATAAAAACTTATAAACTTCGGTAGGCGTTGTTATTTCAAATATTGATTTGTAAAAAATATGCTTAAAGAATCTGACACCAAATATTAAAAAGATTTAGAACGAAAATTTAAAAAGGTTGTTTTAGTTTTGATCCAAAAGACCCGAAGTAAAGCATTAGGCCCAAAAACCACATTAGACCCAATCACCCAATAATATGATTAATAATTTTTTTTTATCAAGTTGTGTTATAATTGGTTGTTTTTTTTTTTATTTTTTTTATTTTTGGAGAAAATGAACTTCTATAATATCATCTTGGAAAGTAAGTGGAAAAAAATTGTTTGATAAATATGGTTATTTTTTAATATTATCTAATTTTAACTTGAAAGGGAAAAATATGAAGTCTTGATCTAACTTGGTATGATTAGTGCAAGTTTGAAGTCGAAAGTATTATTGAAACAGCGACTTGTTGAATACTGAGTGAAAGTTAGAGTATGGTGTTGCAAACTGGTGAACTTGTTGGACTAATTGAATGAGTCTAATAATAATAGGGGTTATATTGTAATATTGAGAGTTCAAATTAATGCGAACTTTCATTGTCTTTTTCAACATTGATTAGATCAATTTTGTTAGTAACTCTCTCGCCTTCTTCATCGAGTCTTAAGGTTCTTTAGGGTTAGTTTTTTTTGTAGTTCATTAACATTGATTTTGTGATATATTTCTTGTTTAATTTCTTCTTTAGCGTAGTTATATGAGTGAGAGAGATTGTGTAGTGAGTTTTGATTTGTAAGATTGATGAAAACCAATTGGATCTTAATATCAATAAAAGAGATTGTTGATGTTGGAATTGTGTGAGTTTTTCTACTTGGTATCAGAGCCATGGTTTCATAGCCCTGACTGCTCTTGGATTGTGTATTCTTCATTAGTTGGTTCCTTATCCCAAGAAACTTACTATGTTCATCATTTCAATCAACGACATAGGTTTGAACAGATGTTTGTTTACATTTTCTCATGTTTGAAAACATTTGTTCGACGCTTTTTGGGCTCTAGATCAAGAGTGTTCTTGAGTTTACAAATCATGTCTCATTATTATCTAGCAAATTAAGGTTTCTGGTTCTCATTCATAAAGGGAAGATTTAGTATTTTCTTGTCTCGCCAAAATTACCAAATTGTAGTTTGATTGTTCTTTTTTGTGGTTCTGATTGTTTGATTATATGGGTACATGGTGTTCTTTTGTTATAATCTTGGTGCATAGTTGGTTAATAGTTTGTATTACTTTTGTTTTAAAAATGAGTAATAATCTCTGGAACATGTGTAGTTATGGAACTAATTAGCAATCATCATGAATCCAATTTCGTCTATTCTTTTATTTCTGAGAAATTTGTTGGCAAATTCAATGGATATATATTTGATCTATCAACTAAGAGTAAAACCTTCACCGTTGTTCTAATTGCTCTCTTAGTGCATGTGGGTAATTTAGATTGGGTGTAAGATGGCTTGGTAAATCATTAATATGATATTGGATTGTACATTTATGAATGATGTGGAATCCTAGAAGTAATCGGGACCTATTTCGGTTAACTGTGTGGTAGCCGGCCTTGTGATTTATTCTTTTTAACTCTTACATTTTATATGACCAACAATTGTTTTTAAAAAAGTTTTTAGTTATACTTAAAGTCACTTTATAGTAAAAAATATAGACATTCTAATGTTGAATTAGTTCTTGTTTTATTTATTTTTTTATTTGTTATTTATTTATTTTTTGTTCAGGCAGTCAAGTTTTTTGTCATAAAAACATATAAAACTTGTAATATTTTGTATGCATGATCTGAATTTGAATTGCATAATTGTCACAAATTGATTTGGTTGATCTAATGTCTTTCTTATGTTTCAAATTAATTTGGAATTTCAATGCTTACTTTTGTAAGAATTTTATTTGAAAATAACTACTAAGTTTACATGAAAATATTGTTCAAGCACAATATTGAGGTGGGATAATTAGGTTATGATATATGTTTTATACTTAAACTTTTCAATCTTTGTGCTTGAAAAAATGGTGGTATTATTTATTGTTTTTTAAAGTGAATTGTGAATTGCCTTATTGGTTATAAGATTGTTGTGTGTTGTGCTAATTGAAGCTTAATGTGAACATGTATTAGATTAACTTCTGTTATTTATCTTTTATTAAGTGAAAATTAGTAGTGTGTTGGTATGTTCTCTCATTAACCTTTACTCACCTTGTAAAGAAGAAAACACAAGAACACAAGACTTGTATTGCATAAACTCATAATTGTATTGAAGAAACTAACTCAAAACTTCAACACTCAATTGTGTGAATACATGAGCCTATCGGTTTTATACTAAACAAAATCATAATTTTATTGAAGAAACTAACTCAAAACTTCAACACTCAATTGTATGAATACATCAGCCTATTGGTTTTATACTAAACAGACTCATTAGTATTAAACTAGGCCTCCTAATAGAAAGACAACTATACTTTACAGACTTTCCTTATTAATCAAGGATCCTATAACAACTTGGACACCACACCAAGTTACTTGGACACAACTCCAATCCATTGAATTATGTACCAGATCATGCCTTCTATCCATTTCTGATCTCAAACAATTCGCAAACAATCACCCCCTGAATTTATGAGTCGAGGGTAATTCTTGCTCTCTAAGTAAAGATCTTATTTCTGCTAACCTTATCCGTGCTAAGGCCTTCGTTATTGGATTTGCTCGTTGCTTGTCTCTGGAAACATGTTTGACTATCACTTGTTCGTTTTCAACACACTCTCGAATAAAATGGAATGGAGTGTGGATGTGTTTGTTTCTTCCATGAAAGACAAAGTTATTTAACAGAGCAATTGTTATTTTATTATTTATATGAATCAACACCTTGTATTTCTTCATTCATGTCAGCTCATCCAATAACTCCCTTAACCAAACTGTATGACACGTAATTGTAATAGTTGCTGTGAACTCAGCTTACTGTATCTTGCTTTTGGGAGCACCAAGTGATAGGTAAGTCACCAAGGTAGAAAACATGTCATGTTGTACTTTTGACATCATCAACATCAACATTATGACTGATATCACTATAACTAAGCAAGCTCAAATCTTTACTTTGGTTTGTATATTATCCCAAAGGATGTTGTCTCATGTAAGTAATGAAAATTTTGCTTAATGGTGTGTGCGTCAGATTCTGTTGAACTTTGCATATAATGGCTAACTACTCCAACCGAATATGCTAAATCTGGATGTGTGTGCAAGAGATATCATAACCAGCCCATTAGTTTCCAGTAATGGGTAGCTTCAACTTCAGTTTCATCCTCAGCTTTAGACAGTTTTAGTCCCGGCTCCATAGGACATTGAGTTGAATTACAGTCTTCCATGCATGATTCTTTTAGAATTTTCATGGCATAACTCTCTTGTTTTACCTTTACACAACCATTTTCTTGCAATACTTCAATACCTAAGTAGCAAGTTAGTTCACCAAGGTCTCACACTTCAATCTGTAATGCCATTAATTTCTTGAATTGGTTTATAAATTCTAGACTTGATCCCCTTACAAACAAATCATCTACATAAATCGTAACGATAAAATTTTTTCCATTTGCAACTATTCTATAGACTGCATTTTCTTGCAAGCACCGTGGAAAACCTATATTTTTCAAAGTGTTATTATATTTAAATTACATGCTCTTGGAGATTGTCGAAGACCATATAATGATTTTACCGACTTATAGACTTTTCTTTCTTCGCCTTGTGTCACAACTAGCATTCTAGCTAGGAAAATTCTGTACTCTTGTAAACATTATCTACTGTAAACTCGTAAACTCTAATTCATGTTGTGCTTGAAATTCAACCCACTTTGATGAAACTTAACTTTTTGGGCCATAATGGGCCTAAAATGGATTGGTTTACCTTAATGGGCCTTGTTGGGCCATAACAAATTCAATAAGCCCTAATGGGCCGTAAAACTCATTCTTTTATGCAATTTGGGCCGTAAACTACCCAATGGGTCCAATGGGCCGAAAAACCATTAATTTGGGCTCCATATTATGGACTC